GGAACTATACCGATCTCTTTGTTGCGTTCGTAGAAGGACTGGGCTGTGGAGCAGTCGACCAGGTTCCACCAGCGGCAGGTGAAGTGCTCCTGGCTGAAGATGGTACCGTTGGGGCACAGCACCTTGGTGCCGGTGTCGAAGAGACAGATGTGGAACACCTGGCAGCGGGTCTCAGGGTCAGCGTAGTAACCTGCCGGGAGAGGAGACGCGTCAGGGAGGCGGAACAAGTGCAGGAAAGTGGTACATAATACGGAACAGGCTATCTATTGGCTGCATATATATCTATCGTGATGAATATAATATATAATAAATGTGAATATATTTATATATAATATATTATATAATATATATATATATAATATATATTATATATTGTGAATATAATAATAATAAATAAAATAACATATATATTATAAATTGTGAACCATCATAAACACGCATACAAAAATCTACAAGTCGGAGAAAATTATATAAAATTTAACTGGACTCTGCTTCACTGTGGTCTGCACCGTGAGTATACTGACACTGGCTGTACACTGTGGTCTGCACCGTGAGTATACTGACACTGGCTGTACACTATGGTCTGCACCGTGAGTATACTGACACTGGCTGTACACTGTGGTCTGCACCGTGAGTATACTGACACTGGCTGTACACTATGGTCTGCACCGTGAGTATACTGACACTGGCTGTACACTATGGTCTGCACCGTGAGTATACTGACACTGGCTGTACACTATGGTCTGCACCGTGAGTATACTGACACTGGCTGTACACTATGGTCTGCACCGTGAGTATACTGACACTGGCTGTACACTATGGTCTGCACCGTGAGTATACTGACACTGGCTGTACACTATGGTCTGCACCGTGAGTATACTGACACTGGCTGTACACTATGGTCTGCACCGTGAGTATACTGACACTGGCTGTACACTATGGTCTGCACCGTGAGTATACTGACACTGGCTGTACACTATGGTCTGCACCGTGAGTATACTGACACTGGCTGTACACTGTGGTCTGCACCGTGAGTATACTGACACTGGCTGTACACTGTGGTCTGCACCGTGAGTATACTGACACTGGCTGTACACTATGGTCTGCACCGTGAGTATACTGACACTGGCTGTACACTATGGTCTGCACCGTGAGTATACTGACACTGGCTGTACACTGTGGTCTGCACCGTGAGTATACTGACACTGGCTGTACACTGTGGTCTGCACCGTGAGTATACTGACACTGGCTGTACACTGTGGTCTGCACCGTGAGTATACTGACACTGGCTGTACACTATGGTCTGCACCGTGAGTATACTGACACTGGCTGTACACTATGGTCTGCACCGTGAGTATACTGACACTGGCTGTACACTATGGTCTGCACCGTGAGTATACTGACACTGGCTGTACACTATGGTCTGCACCGTGAGTATACTGACACTGGCTGTACACTATGGTCTGCACCGTGAGTATACTGACACTGGCTGTACACTATGGTCTGCACCGTGAGTATACTGACACTGGCTGTACACTATGGTCTGCACCGTGAGTATACTGACACTGGCTGTACACTATGGTCTGCACCGTGAGTATACTGACACTGGCTGTACACTATGGTCTGCACCGTGAGTATACTGACACTGGCTGTACACTATGGTCTGCACCGTGAGTATACTGACACTGGCTGTACACTATGGTCTGCACCGTGAGTATACTGACACTGGCTGTACACTATGGTCTGCACCGTGAGTATACTGACACTGGCTGTACACTATGGTCTGCACCGTGAGTATACTGACACTGGCTGTACACTATGGTCTGCACCGTGAGTATACTGACACTGGCTGTACACTATGGTCTGCACCGTGAGTATACTGACACTGGCTGTACACTATGGTCTGCACCGTGAGTATACTGACACTGGCTGTACACTATGGTCTGCACCGTGAGTATACTGACACTGGCTGTACACTATGGTCTGCACCGTGAGTATACTGACACTGGCTGTACACTATGGTCTGCACCGTGAGTATACTGACACTGGCTGTACACTATCTTCTTCTTCTTGAGAATAGGCGCAGTTTGCATGAAGGGGTAACCCTCCCGATGACTGCACCAGGACAGATGTAAGGAGACGCGTTGACGGTCAGGAGGAGAAGAAAGTCAAAAGCGGTAGATGTGATGGGCCGTAGAGAGAGGAGTGGCGACGAAAACAGAGGCGAACGTTAGAGGGAGACACCCCGCACCGGGGGGGGGTGGGGGGGGTCGGGATCACGGTGGCAGCTGATCCATGCACGGCTTAGCAGCGTGCGCAAGACGGGAACTAATACTTCTCCGGAAACTTGTGTATCGGAAAGCGCAAGCAGTACGCCTCCCAAATCACCCGCAGGTCAGCGGGTAGCCGGCCACCAGGCGGCGCCCTCGGCTGAGACATCCTATCAGGCACCCTATACACAAACTCCTTCACCCGCGACACCCAGACAGTGGACGAGCACCACGGGATCGGAAGCACCCGGGCATCCCGATAAGGGCCCAACTCCGGACCCTCACAGGGCACGACCCCAGCAGACGGGACTAGGCAATCCCCAGACTGGAGCAAAGAAGGAGGGGATACAGCAGGGGACGCAGGCGCGGCACCGACCCCACCACCGGGCACAGGAGCCGAGGCCCTCTGGCGCACATCTTTCCGCAACATCACGACGAGGTCCCGATCATCAGGGACAACCCCCCACTGCGGAGATCCAACAGCAGGAGACGCAGGAGGAGAGGCACAGGTAGCAACTTCGGAGCCCCTCACAGCACCATCATTCTCGGCGGGGGGCGCCAGATAACCATACTCCCCCACCTCCTCCCAAGGCACACCACGAAGGGGAGACACACTCCGAGCCCGCCGTGAACGCTTCGAGACAGGCCTCACCACACCACGCCCAGCAGGCCCCGCCGCAGGCACGGCCACCATCTTTACATCCACACAGGCCACACCCGCACCGTCCGAAGAGTCCACAGAGGCCACATCACCCACACTGTCCACATCATCCAGGGAAACAGCCTCAGAACACCGACGCGCACGCTTCTGCAAAGGGACGGAAAGAGCAGAACTACACTCACCAACACACACAGACACGGCAGGCACCTCCCCCTGCCGAAGCACCCCCTCTAAAACAGCAGAACCCGCGTCCCCGGGAGCCGGTATCACATCCACAGGCGGGGGCGGGACATGGACCTCCACCGAGACATCCTTCACTACACGCAGCTCAGGCGACGGCCCGACACCCACACACACCGGCTCAACAACCCCAGGGGCCATAGCAGTCACCTGACGTGTCGCGCAGGCCGTAGAACTCGCCCCAACAGGCGGAGCAGCAGACAGGCAATCAGGCGCCTCAGGCACAGCACCTACTCCATCCTCAGAACCGTCCGAACGTAACAAGGGCGGGAAATCCTCTGCACGAAAAACATGCACCCGACCAGGCGCTCCCACGTCGCACGCCGCAGCCAGGTGACCCTCGTGACCACACCGATAACAGGTGCGCGGTTGACCCCGGTACAAGCAGCGGAGCGTGTAACCCAACACGGACATCGACGACGGTACACTACACTTCAGCGACATCGTCAGGGTGCGGGAGCCGTCAAGCATACCAACACAGTGCCCGGCAACGACCTTGTTCCAACGAACACTTAACACGGTCCCAAATCGCTCAAAACAGGAGGTTAAAAAGTCGTCCTGAAATTCGAAGGGGGCACCATGCACCGCCACAGACGTCAAGGTGACACTAAGATTCACCACCTTAACTGAGCCAGCTGAATCAGGGAGTGGGTAAACACGCCCCTCACAACGCTCGAGAAACACCTGAAAGGCAGCCTGGAGGCGGAACTTGACCACAGCACGGTTGCCCGGAAGCAGCTGGACGCCCACCAGGTCCGACAGCTGCACATGAAGCACGTCCACCAGGGCGACACCAACCAATGGATGATCCACCGGCACCGTAAACGCTAGACCAGCCGACAATGTCCTCTGCACTGGAGGGCGAGATGACCCCATGGCTAAGGCAAACGTCACCCTGTCAGTGGCAAACCACCACCAGCAGGGCAAACAAGCAATCACCCAACGTAAACACTAGCCAGTGCGGAGAGACCTCAGGAGCGTCCGACCTGGCCGGTGGTCACCACGCAACTCCGGCTGTACACTATGGTCTGCACCGTGAGTATACTGACACTGGCTGTAAACTATGGTCTGCACCGTGAGTATACTGACACTGGCTGTAAACTATGGTCTGCACCGTGAGTATGCTGACACTGGCTGTAAACTATGGTCTGCACCGTGAGTATGCTGGCACTGGCTGTACACTGTAGAGTGTTACACTATGGATTGGTACACAGTCTCTTGCATTTGGTTTGGTTTACACACACGGGATACTTCGCATACTCGTGTGAGCGTCAGGAGCAGACGGTAAGCAAAGTTGCTTGGTCAGTGCTGACAGCAACATCTCTGCCCAGAGGCTATGGTCGCCCGAGCTGTGGTCCAGCCCTAACCCTATTTGAGGTTAGATTCGCCCGAGCTGTGACCAATCCTTAACCACCTTCTGCTTAGATTTGTCCAAGCTGTGAACGACTCTAATGACGCATTTAACTATTTAAACGTACATATGTATTCGTAGTTAATTGTTATTAGTTTAAATGAAGAGTATTAATTTTATTTAATATAATTCCGTGTAAAGTTAGTCCTAGAAGAGGTTAAGTTACGCATTTAGGTCCTGTTGACACGTATTTGTATTTGCAGTAGGTGGGTACAACCTGTCCTCAGGCCTGGCATGGTAATGCAGCGGTCAACCATTCATTAATATTAGAGTATTGTGTATTAAAAATGGGTTTGTTCTCATATGTATATTAACTTTATTTTACATTAAAGTCTGTGAATAGTTAGTCGTAGGTGAGGTTAAGTGTTTAGGTTCTGTTGGCGATTATTTGTATTTGAAGTGCGTGGGTGAAGCATTTACAGCGTTGTGGTTCGAACAAAAGTCTTCAGCGAAGCACTTGTTCCGGAAGTGTGTGGCCTTCATCAGTTGTGTATATACCGGTTTTCATTCATAAACAGGAGGTTTGGCGGGGTGCATGGAATGGAGTTTGGCTTTTGTTTATGAGGACGGGCTGTTACACACGACTCACAACTGATGACGTTCGAACA